AAACTATTATAAGATTGACTCTCTAATTATAATTATTTAAATACATTTGAAGCATCTGATTAATTTCTGCATAAAAATGTTTTATGTCCTGTCCCCAATTTTTTTGTCAGTTTGTTTTGGAATCAGACAGGAAAAGGATGCCGGGCCTGTGTGGGTCTGTGTCCCCTTTAGATTACTCTATCCTAGCTGTGTTTATCTGGTTTACTTTTCTAATCATTTGAGGAACTTGAATTGGTCTACTTTTCCTGCATGGCAGACATAAAACAAAGAGTTTTCTTTGTAGGTTATCTGTTCATCACAGAAAAAAAACAGTGCTGCATCAGTGGTAATCCTTGATATTGCCAGGATGCTGGGAAGTTGTTTTCTTTTCTCTGTTTCTCCTCTTTAATTTTTCTTTCATCTGACCTTTATAAACCCTCCAACTATCTCATACTTTGAATTAAAATTCCCCCATAATAATATAATATAATGTAATGTAATATAATGTATTTACTATTGTTGTTGTTCAGTCATCCAGTCGTGTCCAACTCTTTATGATCCCATAGACTGCAGCATGCCAGGCCTCTCTCTCCCTCACCATCTCCTATATTTGTTTATTTTGGAGTCATATTTCTCTGGAATAAGTGTTTGATGTGCCAGATATATAAAGACTTCATTGCACTAGAGACTTCTGATAGCTCAGAGCAGAACCAAGATTCAGAACATGAGGTTTGTTAAACACAAGGGAAAGTTTACCGAGTGTCTACTCTGTTCCGGACTTCCCCGGTGGTGCTAAAGAACCCGCCTGCAGATGTAGCAGACAAGGGATGCAGGTTCAATCCCTGGGTCAGGAAGATCCCCAAGAGAAGGGCATGTCAACCCACTCCAGTATTCTTGTCTGGAGACTCCCATAGACAGAGGAGCTTGGCAGTCAACAATCCATAGGGTCGCAAAAAGTCAAACATGACTGAAGACACTTAGCATACACACTGCTCTGTTCCACACAATATGCCTAGATGGGTGGGAAATGGAGATAAGACATTTGCTGTGTGTCTATATATAGAAATTTACTGCCTGGCATATAACTGTCATGTTATCATGAAATACAAAAATCTAGAGAAAATGATACAAATGAGTTCACAGAAGGAATCTATCAGGGAAGACAACACGTGTGGCCTTCGAATTGAAAGAATCGTCTCCGGCAGAGGAGACAGCAGGCTCACAGCTGCTGGGCAGTAAAGCCAGGCAGGTTAGCGAAGTGGCGAGTAATACAGCTTGCCTGAACACACAGTACATGGCAGGACGCTTGGGAGATCAGATCTGGGGGTCTGGAGAGAGGTTTGAGGAGAGGGAAGAGATGGGACCTTGAATTTTAGATTTTATGTCTAATACCATTTTAATTATGTCATTTCCTTTCCCTACACTTACACTGGCTCCTCCTTGCCTGATAAATACAGGAGGAGCCAGCAGCTCTGTGGTAAGTGATTATATAGCAGTAGGATGAAAGAGAAACACGAGCTCCAGCCGCAAAATTTAAAGACCAATAAACTGGTCCAGGTTCTGTGTCCTAGCATGTCAAACAAGGTCAATCCAAGAAAAGGCTGCTCAATTGAATATTTACTAAGGGCCCAGTAAAGATCCTGAATCGCCCTGCCCTCTCCTGAATGCCATCCATGTTTTAAATCTTAGGATGACTCCATAGTTAGAGATCCTGAGTTCTCACAGAAGTAAATGTGAAACAGGTAACTTTTGGCTGTTGTGGTCAAGGATTGAACTGGAAATTCAGTGTCTTAATATTGCAAAACCAGTTGTATCACCAGGAGCTTAGGACTACTTGCCTGACCTTTTAAGATGTTTCACATTAGGGGGGTAATTCCTCCCAGGGGAGTTGTTAAGAGAGCTCGTAAAACATTATTATATACCACTCATCTCTGACTAGAGATTCAGAATGAGTACTCAAAAAATTCTAAATGGTTGTTTGAAGCATTTATCTCTGAGATATAGACAGTGATGCATATGACTGGTACAATTCTTTTAGACTCGTTTGAATTTCTTGCTCTTCACAAGAACGAAGCACTTCTCTGAGTTACAAATACGCCTAAACAAGATGATCAAAATTCATTTACAGATTCCTCAAGATGGGAACAAAATGAAATTCTATTCAGAACGTCATTCTCTTATCTTTCATCTCAAGAGGTGGATCTCCATGGTATAAGTATTGTGTTTATAAGATTGACATAAGAATCTCTGGAACTTTAACATAAGGAGATAGAGACACTACGCCTTCAATGTGAATATTAAAAGTTAGCTTTATAAAAGGTTTATCAACCCAAGAACTCACAAGAGAAAAGTTACAGGTACTGAAATGGATTGGCTAGTCAAGAAGGCAAATATGAATATGACTAAAGAGTGTGTTTCCTTCCCTTTCTCCCACACCTGCTTGCAGGACTTTCTGTGGCTCTCACTCTGCTTCCTCTCCAAGAAGCCCTGGTAAGGTCTGAGGACCCCAGCAAGTGAGTGCTAGTGAAGGGCAATCACCTCCGAGATCTTCCTTCTGCTAGTCTGTTGGATATCGATAGACATTGTTGTCAAGACAAGCCCTGATGTGGTTTAATGGTTTCCTGTCTCGCAACCTAGTTTTGGCCCTCAGCCTATCTGGCTCCTGAGTTAATCAAAGTGACAGTCCAGGTGGGAAACTCTTTACAAATTTTGAAGGTTCTGTGTGGGTGGAGGGCAACGTTATTTCTAATGAATAATTCACTGGTAATTAGTGCCCAAAGGAAAGTCTTCTCTCTCCTTGGTTATTAGCATCCATGTTAGATTCCCCGTGACTTGTAAATAGTTGAATGCTTTGACCCTACTGGAAATGTCGGTCCTGTTTTCCATTTGAACTGCCCCCACCTTCAGGACAAGGAAGGAGGGGATGACGTAAGGGCAGCTGTTGAGGGACTGCTCATCATCCGAAGCTGCCTTGTGACAGGGATGTGATGGCGAGGACGACAGCAGTAGGCAGACATTGGGATGATAAGCTTCTAAATCACGCTTCTGCTCTCAATGGCACTAATCGGAATTTGTACTTACTTTATGTGTCTTTTTGCCCCCCATTTCCTCACTTCCCCCACCCCTATAATTCTAAGCTTTGTGAAGTCAGGGACCTTCTACATTGTTCATCATTATACACCCAATGCCTCCCCCATACACCATAAATTATTTGTTTAATAAATACATAAATTGGTCTTGAATACTGAAAATCTAATTTCATCACTTCAATGCTTAAGAATTCTTCACAGACTCCTCCAAGATGTGCAGATAAAATAAATCCAGAATCGCTGCTTTCGCATTTAAAAAAAGTAAGCCATCTGGTTGGTTCAGGTTATTTTCCTACATAGTACCTCACTGTTTCCTCTGCCCTCTCTCTGCGAGGAGGGGATGTTTTAATCATAATAAAAGACTTGCAGTTAATCATGTGTCATATTTGTTCACCTCTTTCCTCATAACCAGCAAAAATCAGTGCAGGAATCATGAGTTCCAGAAAGCTTTTCCCAACTCCATCCCCGGTCTTGGTTGGGGGCTAAGGTACTTCATATTATTGGATTACAGGTTTTCTGTTTCATTGTCTATCTCTATTCAAGACATAAAACTCCCTCAAGGAAGAGGACTGTGACGGATAATTTTATACAGCCAGGCTATGGTGCCCAATGTTTGGTCAAACAGCAGATTAGATGTCACTGTGAAGGTGTTTTTAGGCATGATTGGCATTTAATCAGCAGACTTAGACTAAAGCAAATTACCCTCCACAACATGACTGGGCCTCATCCAATAGTTGAGACCTCCAGTTCAGTTTAGTCACTCAGTCGTGTCTGACTCTTTGCGACCCCATGGACTTCAGTACACCAGGCTTCCCAGTCCATCACCAACTCCCAGAGTCTACTCAAACTCATGTCCATCGTGTCAGTGATGCCTTGAGACCTTAAGAGCATCTAGACAGAGGGTTCCCAAAGATAATTCTCCAGAAGGAGGAATTCTCAAGATCGTAACATAGAAACACTGTGTCAGTTTCCAGCCTGCCCACCAGAACCCGGACTGCAGACTACAGCATCCGCTGTGGTCTGAACTTCCAGCCCTCAGGCCTAGCCTGAGGGTTTCAACCCTGCCAGCCCCCGTCAGGTGAGACGAGTCTTAACAATCTCCCTCTCCTCTCTCCTTCTCTCTCTCTCCCCGCTCTCTCTCCCTCTGTTGGTTCTGTTTCTCTGGAGAAACTTCACTATCCTGGAAGCTTTCTAGTTTAACTCCTGTTTTTAGAACACGGCACAATAAGTCAATGAAAAATTAAATCTCGCTTGAAATCCCTCTCCCTTGACAGAGGAGAACTTTGCAGTGCCGGGATGGCCATTCGGCCCTGTTGACGCCAACTAAACAGGCCCCTAGCGCATACTGAGCTCCCCTCCCCTGTCCCCCGGTGACTCGGCCATCTGACACGTGATAAAATGAGGCAAATACACATTTTATGAACCTACTTATTTTTTGAATGCCAGGAAATGCATTACAGAGATTCCAACCAGCAACACGTGCCCTGTGAGTCAGAGTAGCTGAGCTGGAGCCTCATCACCCCTCAGAAGGGGACATCAGGATCAGCCTCTCCTTCTGGAATACTTAAAACTTCATGGCTTTCTCTCTACATCCCATCCCACCCCTTTCTGTTTGTGTTTTGATTTTTGAATGACCGATGAGTCACTGGAAATGACCTCTCCACACCAGCTGCTTTGGCCTGCCTATCACTCAGCATCTGTTCCAAACAAAACGTCAGCATATCTTCAGTGAAGTAAGCAAGCACATAACCAAAGGTCCAGGGTAGGGTCTATAGCCTCAGGCTATCTTCCTGGTATTTGCTGGACTCCTGGGTTTATGCTGGGAAAAGCCGGGTGTTCCCAGTAGAGCCACGAAGGGAGCCCCTGACAGAGAGTAGGTGCCCATAAATACTGAAAGCCCCTGAGGAGGAAATACATGTCAAGAGTTCTCACCCACAGGCCGTCTGTCACCAGCTCCCTCTTCCTTGGTGTCCTCTCTCTGGATATTATCCTCCTCCATCTGGATCTTCTGCTGAGTCTCCAAGGACAAACTAGGATCAGTGCAGCCTGTGCGCAGCAAGAAAAGAAAGGTACCATGAGCAGGAGGCTGGAAGCTGAGGCGACCTCTGAAAACTGAAGGTCAGCAGCGCTAACATCTGGGGAACACTAACAACTGTTGAAATTGAAAAGCAGATACCCTGGATCATCCTGTATTCACTCTGCTGACTATCCTTCAGAACAACAAAACCTAAACACCATCACCACTAACCAACACCAACAGAAGCATACATATGGCTAGAATAATGACAGATTAAAAAAAAAAAAAAGGATGCTGGTGAACAAGTGGTGTGCAATATTTAGACCAAGAGACACAGCAGTTTTTCAGCATAGTTTCTATTTGCCATTTACTATTGCTCATTTTCTATTTCTCACCCCATGCTCATTATTTACCAGCAATCATCCTGTTAGTTACTTTGTCTTTATTATATCTTTTAATTTCCACAAAATCTCATATTATAGAAAAGGAAACCAATGCCTTTGCTCTTAAGAGCTCCCCACAGAGCCCCTGATTAAGAGAGGGTTCCCACACTTGTCATTATATCCAGTTTTCTCTGCAGAACTCAGTGTTGCCTTAGGAGATGGTGTGGTCCCCCCATCGTGTTATAGCTCCCATTTGTTTTGTACTTAAGATGCCAAATATTTCTCGCTTGATTTTCACAATAACTTTAAGGTAAGGAGTGAGAAAGGAAATTCAGTTTTGGACATGTTGAATTGGGGTATATCCGTAGATCATTCAAGTGAAGTACAGGGTAGAGATAATGGCCATGGCTGGAGATGTTTATTTAGAGAATGCAGATCTTAAGAAATTTTGCTTTTCCTTAAAATGGGAGAAAGAAAGCTAAGCTGGTTCATAGGCTGAGGGAAAACAGAGAGGGAAATGGTAAAGATCTAGGAGGTAGGAGATTAAATGATGCAGCAAGTTCCTGGGAGAAGAGAAGGGGGATGAGATCATCTTACAGTTGGAGGGTTAGCCTTGACAAAGAGATATATTCTTCATTTCAAGAGAGCGGATAAAGGAAACATGATGAGGGTAGATACCCATGTAGTTCACAAGCTGTGTGCCAGAAAGAGTTAAAAGGATGGGATTTTTAGGTATGGAGGGTCTCACTCTTGTCAATGAAGTACTGTGCTAACTCTTCCACTGAGAGCCTACCAAGTGGAATAATTCTGTAGGAGTTAAATGCTGAAATACAGAGTTCCATAAGTTACATTAAAGAGATGCTTGAATAACTTTTGGGCTACAAATAATACCAAGAAAGAAGACCAACCACAGAATGGGAGAAAATGTATACAATTCATATATCTAACAAGGGACTTGTATCTAGAACATATACATTAAAAAAAACAAACCTTAAAATTCAACATGGTCATAGGATCTGAATAGATATCTCTCCAAAGAAGATAAACACATGGCCAATAAACATATGAGAAGATGCTGAATGTTATTAATTTTTAGGGAAAAGCAAATCAATCCCACAATTTGATACCACTTCACACCCACTGGGATGGCTATAATGAGAAAGACAGATACTAACACATGTTGGAAAGGATAAGGTGCCTGTGGGTATAGAAAACAGTCCCTCAGTTCTTCAAAAGGTTAAAAACAGAGCTGCAATAAGACCTAGCAATGCCACTCGTAGGCATATACCCAAAAGAAATGAAAACATGTTCACACATAACTTGAATACAGACGTTCCTATCATCACTGTTCATAATAGCCAAGAGGTAGAAACAGCTCAGATGTCCTTCAAATATTTGTATCATCACTGTTCATAATAGCCAAAAGGTAGAAACAGCTCAGATGTCCTTCAACTAGTGAATGGATAAATACAACTGTGGTTTATCCGTACAAAGCAATATTATTTGGCCCTATAAAGGAATGATGGAGAAGGAAATGGCAATCCACTCCAGTATGCTTGCCTGGAAAATTCCATGGGCAGGGCTTCGGTCCATGAGGTCACAAAGAGTCAGACACGACTGAGCACGCAGTACGGCATAAAGGAATGAAGTACTGACACACGCTTCAACGTGGATGAAACTTGTGTGTACCTTACTAACTGAAAAAAGCCCGTCACTAGGTATCACATATGGTATGGTTCCATTTATCGGAAATGTCCAGAATATGCAAGTCTGTAGAGATGCAAAGTAGACAGGTGGTTGCCTAGAGCTGACTGTGAGGCTTGAAGGAGGGGTAAGGAGTAATTGCTAATGGGTGGGTGGGTGGGGGGTCCCTTTGGGGATTGATCAAAATGTTCTAAAATAGATTGCGGAGAACTTTATGAAAATATTTTTAAAAATACCGAATTCTACAACTTAAATGGATGAACTGTATGGTTATGGGGATTATATCTCAGTAAGCTTTTTAAATAAAAAAGAAACTTGAGATCTGAGGAGAGGATTATTGACAGAGGCAAGATTGAAGAACACTGCAGAAGACCAAATAATAAAAACAGCCATTATCGTAAGGGTTCCCATGCCAGGCACTGAGCTTGGAGATTTTCCGGCACATCTGCTCTACTTTTCACCACAGACGATACACATCAGATCCTCTCCCCTCACCTACAGGCTGCGCCACTAGCGCTCAGCGGACACACGGAGGCGCGACAAGATGTCGCCCGGGCCGCGCCAGCGGGGTGTTTCCCGACGCCCGCGCCACGCTGGCCGCCCCTCTCGCTTTCCTACGCAGCCTCAACTCCATGGGCCCGGCTACACGCCAATGTGTCTGGGCCAAACTTCCCCGCGCACTGCCGCCGTGGTGTGTCCGCTGTCGTCTCGGCGACGTGAATGAAGAGGCACTCTCCGTACCTCCTCCGCACTCAGCGGCCCTAGAAGCACGGGCACTGGCCTCCCTCTGTGGAGTGATTCCCCCAGGTTCCGTCAGTCAGTCAGTTCACTCGCTCACTGGCCGACCGTTTGCGACCCCATGAACCGCAGCGCGCCAGGCCTCCCTGTCCCTCACCAACTCCCGGAGTCCACCCAGACCCATGTCCATAGAGTCGGTGATGCCATCCCGCCATCTCCCCCTCTGTCGTCCCCTCCCGCCATCTCACCCTCTGTCGTCCCCTCCCGCCATCTCCCCCTCTGTCGTCCCCTCTCGCCATCTCCCCCTCTGTCGTCCCCTCTCGCCATCTCACCCTCTGTCGTCCCCTCCCGCCATCTCACCCTCTGTCGTCCCCTCTCGCCATCTCACCCTCTGTCGTCCCCTCTCGCCATCTCACCCTCTGTCGTCCCCCCCTCCCGCCATCTCACCCTCTGTCGTCCCCTCCCGCCATCTCACCCTCTGTCGTCCCCTCTCGCCATCTCACCCTCTGTCGTCCCCTCTCGCCATCTCACCCTCTGTCGTCCCCTCCCGCCATCTCACCCTGTGTCGTCCCCCCCTCGCCATCTCACCCTCTGTCGTCCCCTCCCGCCATCTCACCCTCTGTCGTCCCCTCTCGCCATCTCACCCTCTGTCGTCCCCTCTCGCCATCTCACCCTCTGTCGTCCCCCCCTCCCGCCATCTCACCCTCTGTCGTCCCCTCTCGCCATCTCACCCTCTGTCGTCCCCTCTCGCCATCTCACCCTCTGTCGTCCCCTCCCTCCATCTCACCCTCTGTCGTCCCCTCTCGCCATCTCACCCTCTGTCGTCCCCTCTCGCCATCTCACCCTCTGTCGTCCCCTCCCGCCATCTCACCCTCTGTCGTCCCCTCTCGCCATCTCACCCTCTGTCGTCCCCTCTCGCCATCTCACCCTGTCTCGTCCCCTCCCGCCATCTCACCCTCTGTCGTCCCCCCCTCGCCATCTCACCCTCTGTCGTCCCCTCTCGCCATCTCACCCTCTGTCGTCCCCTCCCGCCATCTCCCCCTCTGTCGTCCCCTCTCGCCATCTCACCCTCTGTCGTCCCCTCTCGCCATCTCACCCTCTGTCGTCCCCTCCCGCCATCTCACCCTCTGTCGTCCCCTCTCGCCATCTCACCCTGTGTCGTCCCCTCTCGCCATCTCACCCTCTGTCGTCCCCTCTCGCCATCTCACCCTCTGTCGTCCCCTCTCGCCATCTCACCCTGTGTCGTCCCCTCTCGCCATCTCACCCTCTGTCGTCCCCTCCCGCCATCTCACCCTCTGTCGTCCCCTCCCGCCATCTCACCCTGTGTCGTCCCCTCCCGCCATCTCACCCTCTGTCGTCCCCTCCCGCCATCTCACCCTCTGTCGTCCCCCCTCGCCATCTCACCCTCTGTCGTCCCCTCTCGCCATCTCACCCTCTGTCGTCCCCTCCCGCCATCTCACCCTCTGTCGTCCCCTCTCGCCATCTCACCCTCTGTCGTCCCCTCTCGCCATCTCACCCTCTGTCGTCCCCTCCCGCCATCTCACCCTCTGTCGTCCCCTCTCGCCATCTCACCCTGTGTCGTCCCCTCTCGCCATCTCACCCTGTGTCGTCCCCTCTCGCCATCTCACCCTCTGTCGTCCCCTTCTCCTCCTGCCCCCAGTCCCTCCCAGCATCAGGGTCTTTTCCAGAGAGTCAACTCACTGACTAACGTAGAGATAACACATCTCCCCTTTCTCTTCTGCTTGGAGAGGTTACGGTTGAGAAGAACAAAGGCTAATCTCAACTCTTAGATAGAGAGATAATGACCACACCCACCTCCTTTCAAGCTGGTTCCCTCAGGTTTTGAGATTTTAATGCTGTTCGCTAGTTTTCTTCACCAATTAACAGCAGATAGACCTAGCAAGCAGTTAAGGGTTCAAGAAATCCTTATCTTCCTTTTCCATTCTTTTCACAGTCCCTTTACACTCACGCCTCTAGTCTGGAATGGGATGGCTGTAAGAGAAGAGACAGAACATAAAGGGGTCTCACTGACCCGGGCTCTGGGCTCAGTAATCATAGCAGAATCCTGGGGACCGTTTAAACAGACACCAAGTGCCTCCTGGGGAAACTGTGATGCCTGCTTACATGCACCCTACGCTCCTTCCATATATATAAGTA